AAGAGGTTTTCTTGGAAATCATTAAAAATCACAGGTCCCAGGTATGTTTAACTAGATTGTGTGGGAAAAACGCTTTAAATCGAGAACATAAGATAACTCTTTCACTAAAAGGGCAAATCATTTTTATTTGCTAATGACCAAATTAATTAATTTTTTCTTGCCTGCAATCATAGGAAAGACCCCTTAACAAGTCATATTTCATGTGTATTCTAACAGTTTCTCCTCACTATTGCCACCTGGTGGACAAAGGTGGTTCCTTTCAATAGCACATAAAACTATGTCTCGGTATGACCACAAGATGGCAGCACGAAACCAGATTTTCAAAGAGCAAAGCTCAAACTAGTGTTTTCCTTCTCAAAAAGATAATGTTCTCTTCCTATGAAAGAAGGAGATAATAGCACAACAGAAGCACTGCAGTCTCTTCTCACGAAGACAAACAGAATTTCAGTTTTAATATCGGCAGTATTTCACAAAGAAGTTGACTTATTACTGAACTAATAAGGAGCACATACACTTTAACTGGTTAGTTTGCTTTCTAAACATATTTCAAACAAACGTGTAGTTTTTGCCTGAATTTTTCTGATATGTTCTTCACAGAGTAGAATATATGGCAATGTTTCATATCCTTTCAACCCATTCTCTAGCTAATTCATATGGGAGTGTCGGCTCCCTGAGAGAGCTGTGTAGCTCTTGGCCAAGTCTACACCAGTGGCTTCCCAGTGGCTCATACAGGCACACTGCTGGCCCTGTCCAGACCAAAACACTGCCTAGTCAGAGTGTTGCCTATTCTCTTGTGGGCCAGAATCTCCCAATTTTGTGTTGCTATGGTAATAACTTTTAATATTTGGGTCTCTAGTGCCATGACCTACTTGTTAAGGTAACTTTGTCTCTCTTTGGTCTACCTCTCTGCAAAGTATTTTACCACAAAATAGACAACAGATCTCATATATGGAGCACTGACTGTATGCCTGGCACCATTCTTAGTATGTGGATTAATTGATCTAATCCATGACTATTTCCAAAGAAAAATGTTTTTCCTTTTATTAGAAAGGCACAGAGATAGAGAGGGGCAGAGAGACAGATATATATATATATATATATATATATATTTCTGTGTATATATATCTGTATATCTATATTCACACACACACAGGGAGATATTTAATCTGTGGGTTCTTTCCCCCCAAATGCTGCAAGAGCCAGGACTGATCCAAGCTGAAGCCAGGAGCCTGGAACTCCTTCTGTGTCTCCCACATGGGCAGCAGAGGCCCGAGTACTTGAGCCATCATGTGCTGCCTCCCACGATTAGCAGGAGATTGGAATCCAGAGTGGAGCCAGGTCTCAAACCCATGCACTCAAGTCCCATGGGATGGGATGTGGGTGTTCCAAGCAGGAACTTACCCAGTGCACCAAATGCCCACCTCTGTGGCCCAGATGTGTGATGGGCATGTTAGTTAATTTTGCAGATGATGAAATGGAGGCAGAGGGATTTTCCATCACATGCACAGTAATTGGCCTTCCTCCCTGTCCAGGTTCCTGGACAAATGCCTGGAAGTGTTCCCAGGAAGCCTGCGGGCCGGAAGTGGAGCAGGCAGAACCCAGAATCCTTTACGGGAAGGTGGTCCCATCAGGGCTTTGGGAAGGAGGATTCCTCTGTGACCCAGAAGGTTCTCGCAGGTTGTAGGAGGTAACGCTCGGAGAGATGTACATGCAGTCAAGGGCAGTTGCACTTTGCTCGTGAACAGAGCCTTTCCAGTCAGTTCTGGATCCTTCCCACGTCTCAGCAATGCCCTGGACACACAGGGATCCACTTTATCAAGGATACCAGCCAGGCAACGTGCAATCTTGGAGTGGGGTCTGCTAGAGAACCAGGAGCCCCACTCTGCCCCGTGCACTCTGTGTGATGTCTCTGGAGCTCCCTTTCCTCACGTGAGGCTGAGCGCATCCTCTGCCCTCTCAGGCACTTGCAAGGCAATACCTCGTGTTCAAAGGAAAGGTGTCAAAGCAGGTGCACGCAAGAAACAGAGGCAGTGTGTTTAACACGCACGGCAAACGTCAGGGTCGGGTGGCGAGATGCCGGCAGAAGGTTGCCTGCCGTAGACATCCACGTGCTGCACATGGGTGGAACCTGGCTTCATTTCTGGGGTGAGTGTGGCACCAGTCGCTGGCCTCTGCTAGCAGAGGAAGGTTCTTCCTTGGTCCTGTTGTGTGAACTTGCCGTGTGTAGCCTCCATTACCTGGAAATGCCTGCAAGAATGCACTTCAGGGACATCAGGGCACTGATTGTTGGAGCAGCCTCAGCAATGCACCTGAAGCTCCAGTAGCAACCATGACCCAGAGGAACTTCCGGGCGGGGCTGCCATCCTGCCTCTGGCCAGTTTCAGGCATCCATCTTCACCTGCAGGCACAACCTAGGGCCAGCTCTGCTGAATTGTAGCCAAACGTTTTTGGACTGCAGACACTACGACAACTGTGCCCTTATTTGTACCCATCCTAAGAGTGGGAGAAAGTGCCACCCTCTTGGAGGTCTCTTAGGACCTACAGGGGATGAACAGAGAATCTGTTGGGGAATGGATGAATAGGTTGCACTGAACCTTGGAAACTTTGCAGATCTGATTTTAAAGATCTGACCCCTTTTGTACAAAATCAGAGAATAGAGAATTTTTTTCAAAGATTTTATTTATTTATTTTGAGAGGTAGAGTGACAGACAGTGAGAAGGAGAGACAGAGAGAAAGGTCTATGTTCTCTATGTTCGCTGGTTCACTCCCCAGGGGGCCACAACAGCTGGAGCTGTGCCGATCCGAAGCCAGGAGCCAGGTGCTTCCTCCCGGTCTCCCACGCGGGTGCAGGGGCCCAAGCACCTGGGCCATCCTCTATCTCTTTGCCAGGCCACAGCAGAGAGCTGGACTAGAAGAGGAGCAACCAGGACTAGAACCAGTGCCCATATGGGATGCCAGCGCTGCAGGCAGAGGATAAACCTACTGTGCCTTGGCGCCGGCCCCGAGAATAGAGAATTTAACTCATCAGATTCCCTGGGGATATTTTTGTAGGTTGGGGTACGCTAGTGATATGTGCATTCGCTTTAGAGTTCCGTGATTCTTGATCTTCTGTTTTGGCCCCTATGCATTCAGAGGGCCTGCTGTGCAGAGACTGGGCCACAGCACTAAACAGTAACAGTCTCAGCACGCCCCTCCCTGGAACTCAGAGTCCACAGAGGAAGACCAGCAGCAATCAGCATCGGACAGATACACTTGAAATTAACACTGAGACAAGTGCTATGAAGGAAAACAGAGGTGATAATAACAGGACTTAGCTTTCTCTGGCAGACCTCCCTGCGGAAGCAGAAACTGACTGCAGAAGGGTATGAACGGGACTTTCGGCGGAGATGTCACTGTGACACGAGCCCTGTGGCAGAGGCAATAGGGGACCACGTGGCAGGAAGGCAGGCGAGTGGGGCTGCAATGCCAGGGTGATGCCAGGAAGCCACATTAAGGATCTTGGTCTTTATCTTAGAAACCACACACACACACACACACACACACACACACACACACAGTCTGAACACATTTTAAGTAGGACTGTAAGGTGGCCAGATGTTTAATTTAAAAGGTTCTCTTGGGGCTGGCACTGTGGCATAGTGGGTAAAGCCGCCACCTGCAGTGCTGGCATCCCATATGGGCACTGGTTCAAGTTCCGGCTGCTCCACTTCTGATCCAGCTCTCCGCTATGGCCTGGGAAAGGAGTGGAAGATGGCCCAAGTCCTTGGGCCCCTGCACCCATATGAGAGTCCAGGAAGAAGCTCCTAGCTCCTGGTTTTGGATCAGCTCAGCTCTGGCTGTTGTAGTCATTTGAGGAGTGAAACAGCAGATGGAAGACCTCTCTCTGTCTCTGCAACTCTGCCTTTCAAGTAAATAAATCTTAAAATGATTTATAAAATAAATTTTAAAAATTAAATAAAAACAAAAGGCTCTCCAGCTGGAGTCCAGTCACTTTTCCTGCTTAGTATTGCATGCTACCTAGGAAAGCAGATGGCCACAGAGGAGGAAATCTGTGTCCTGCAGCCACTTTGGGCTTCTGTACTGACCAGTCATTAAGTTGGTTCTGAGATTCAAAATAATATCCCATGGATATTGTACATATTTGCTTCTAAAGATTCAAGAATCTTGTCGTTCATTTTATAAGGATCGTTAAAAGAGAATCTAAGAATTTGACCTATTCATACGCTTCCAACTCTAAAATTTTAAGCATTTACCAAATATGCATTGAACACCTACTAAGCAGTTCGGGTACAAGGTTGACAAGACACATGCTGTTGACTCATGGAGAATACTTGTATTTTCTCACATGGCAGACAAACTACCAGCAAGCAAATAAATGAATGACTAACACAATGCGAGGTACAGATAGGTGCTTTGTAGAACAGTAAGAGAGAACAAATGGACAGAAGAAAGAACAGGGTTACTTACCTTGGATAAAGTGATGGAGGAATCCTTCCTGAGTTGAAGACATTTCATCAGAAATCTGAGTGGGCAGCCCAAGATCTGGCAGAGGAGCATTGCAAGCCGATTACACAGCAGGTGCAAGGGTTTTCAAGCTGGAATGGACTTGGCCTATTAGAAGAAGAGTAGAAAGTCCAATGGGCTTCAGTGGAGAGAACCACGGGCAAAATGGCAGGCTAGGGAGGGGGACAAGACACACTGTTGCAGTGCAGACCAAGTTCCCACTCAGGCGCCTTAGCCTTGTCTGCACATGTAACACATAGCATCAAGTATCTGTAGCTTCAAATCATTGTCTTTGCCATATACATCCTCATAACATTTTTTCCAACAAGACAATCTCTTTCCATTTGCCTTTCTTTCAATCTCTACCAGTATCTGTTTCTATTAAAGTTCTTTCTGCTTTGTGTCTCATTCTCCTTTCAGTGGAGAGTACCAGATGACCTTCCTCTTTATTTATGATTGGTAAAGAATATTTTTCTTGCTAAATGTTTCTTTTTTAGAAATTGGCACCACCGTACACTTCAAGCAAAAAGGTATGGTTATTATTTCTGATTACCTTCTATGTGTTCCTATGTCACAGTGCTGTTATAGACTTGAGCTCATTTCAGTTCACACATTTTGACAGTAGCTTCTCTAATACAGTTGGTAGTATTCTCCTCTCCCAAAATTGTGAACTTCCTCATTTTCAAAAAGTCCTTCATCCAACCCATGACCCCTATACCACTTTCGACAGTTATTCATTTTTTAGTCCTCAGAACTGGAGAAAGTTTTTCTGCGTCCCATCCCCCACCTACCACGTTCCTTGTCCTGGGCACCCATGGTTCATTCTTGCAGAGCTATTGTTTTGGAAATGCCCATTTTCAGGGTTCTCAGAAGAGTCATCTTACAGTCCCTGGTTGACTACAACATATGGCTAAAGGAAAAGGGGCAGCACTTCCTATGTCCTCTTGCCTTGTCCCTCCCCCAGCTCTATGTAGAACCTTGTACTGCTGCAGGATACCTAGGTGCTGGGCTCATGTGGAAACTGTTGTTTTCTGCCCTGCACATGCCCCACATGGGACATGTCATTCACCTGTTTGTCTCTAAAAGGAAGTGCAACCAGGTCAAAGCTTCATCAAATGTTCCCTAAAAAGTAAATAGTTCCTCACTCTGAGATGCCCTCTCACTGTCCCAGTAGATCAGAATCCCCAGTAGTGTCTATCTCCAGAACAGAGTCACAAAGGCATGTGTGTGGCCAGTCATCCCTCAGCCCCCTTAAGTCTTTGTGGTCACCCACTTGGCTAGTGATTGTCTCATAAGAAGACATCTTCCTTTCTGGATCTCAAAAGGGACAAGACAGTCCACATCACTCTCAATGATCAAAATGAATTTTCATGGGACTTAGACCTCCCCAATGACTAAGAGCCTCAGAGCTGACACTTAAGAAAGTAACAGTTCTGGCAGATCCTCAAGAAGTCAGCAGGAAAAAGGCAGCCAGGAGTGTATGCCTGGGAATAGGAGAGAATACATCCAACGTTGTCTACTTCAGTTCTTCTCTGCTCAGTGCTGTGACTGCCGATTACATTTGAATCTTAAGTGCCCTGTGTTATATGTGAGACCTTAGGACTTGGATGTGGATAAAGATATAGAGCAAAGCATTTTTTTTCAAAGGCCATCAAGACAAACTGCTGGTGTCACCATAAGGCTTTCTACATATTGGCCTAAAATTTCAAACATTTTCATGCCAAAATACTGGATGCCGTTCTTGATGAAAAGATGTGATGATTACAAAGGTGTGATGGTGCAAATACCTCAGCATTACCAAGATCTCACTTGATAGAGGGTGACCATAGTGCTAAGTGTCACGTAGGAAAAGCTACGGTTTAATTTTAAGATCCATTACTCAGCCAAAGCATCAATATTTCTCCTCATCTCCTATGCAGCCTGAAAATTATAGGCGTTTGTTGTTAATTCACTCATGCAGGGAAAGTTGTACTGTCAGAAAATGGATGGCAGGTGGCGCCAAAGTCAAGCTTATGAAAATGCTTAAAGGCTTCCCTTTAAACATGGCTTCCCAAGACACCCCTGGGCCTAAGTCTGCACATCTAGGAAATACTCAAAAAAAGATATTTGGGGAATTTTACATATTATTGTACTCTTTTAATTTCATTAAAATAATTGTATTATAAATTATTTATATTTTTGTTGTATTTTCAATCAGTCAGCCCTTAAGAATTCTACAAAGAATTCAAGCAAACTTTTCTGGAATTTTTCCTCTTCTGGTGTGACAGAACCATGTACAGGAATAATACTGTGATTGAACTTCATTCTTTACAGGAAATAGCCAAGAGCCATTTGGTTATTTATAACATCATTTGTGGGCCATACAACATCATCAACTTCAAAAGTAGCCTGCTATAGATGAATTGAATTTCGAGTCCCACCTGCAGATACCTTGGCAGGGCCATACCAAATGATGTCACAGACCTCATTAGCTCCGAGTTGGACATGTTCCACCCCCACCTTAGAGGTAGAAAGCAATGGCCTAGGATCACTTAGGTCACAATGAATGGCCATTTTGAATAAATTGAGCCTCAAGTTAAGAAAATGGGTCCTAAGTACTCAAGAGAGACCAAAGAAAACTGCTGGCCAAATTTGAATTACAAAGTGTCCCCAAACATGATTATGAAAACCGATGTTGAAAAATTCCTGTGTCCTTTCTGCAACATTTTTCTGAAAGTCTAAGCAACGAGCTCTGGCTCATGCATCAGATTTGTGGTGTAGAGTTCACCAAAGAACATTTGGATGCCTGGATTTCAAGACATTTTATCCATCTTGCCCTTAGTCACAAGATTCCTTTTATCATCATTACCCTGACAAAGTTAACTCTCGCTTCTTCCAACCTGGAGTTGAGAGTCAGAAGCTGGGGGCTTGACTCCTCTGATTCACAGTCTTGATGCAGCGGAATTGTGCTCCCTTGGCAATCATTAAATGCCCTGACCCAATTCACAAGCCAACATCTTTGATTCAGGTTGTTATTTTATCCCTTTCTGTACTCCACACTGCTGTGGCAATGATGTTGATGATGTTACTATTTACTGAATGTTTACCAGATTCCTCACACATCAGTGTGTATACACACACACAACACACAATATAGAATGTGGTTAAATACCAAGATATGATTTTTGTCTGTTATATGAAAAACATGCAGCAAATTTTTGAATTGTGGCTCTATTTGCCCATCTATTCTTAAAGCTAATTTATGTTTGCAGACTCTTGCTTTCATTATATCTGTCAGTATATGAAAGCACTTGCTGAGCCTGGCCATCTGGTGTGGGAAATAAGATTTATCATTTGCATTTCCACAAATAAGCAGAAATTTTAGAACTATGAACTGAAACATAATTAATGATTTTACTGATGATTCTACCCTGAACTAGCCATTAACTGAAGTAGTCTCCTATGCAGTCATATGTATCTCTAATTGCAAACACACTTGTGAAGATTCTATCACCTGTTTGCCCTTGCATTTTTTGGAACCTATTCATTTATTCTCAAAAGCAATTATAAAAAGAGCAAGTCATGGAAGCACAACAAATAGTTATATGAGAGCACTTAATAAATAATAATTTACAGGGATGAAGATATCTTTAACAGATGTACAAAATGCTGCCAAATATAAAAATACAAACCAGGAAAAAAAGATTAATGTACTCCTAGTGGGATTCACGATCGTAACATAGAATAGCATGTGTAAATAATAGTTGATTCTGAATTATGTCTACCAAAAGGCCAATAATATGTGTATATATGTGTGTGCATAAGTACCATGTATATAGCATGTTTGTGTACATTAGCAAGAATATTATATGTGAGCATGCTTATTCAGGTTCCTGTCATGGAACGAAAAGATTTGGTGCACAATGTTTCAAAATCTGTGAATAGTTGTCTATAGTACTTATTTCCCATGAAATTTTCCAAGTCTTTTCATGCAGAACACATCATATACATTTTCAATGATGGAATTTTTCCTTTGTCAAATATTTATGATCTTTCCAATAAAATAAGACTACTCAGCTCCAAGATATTAGAAAGATAACCTAGCCTGTCCTCATACAAGTCATGAGACTAAGGAAGTAAGCAGAAGTAGATTTTTCCTGAAAACCAACATTTGATATTACCCTAAGGCAAAACAGAAGTGATTTTTGCTTAATGCTACGGGGTCTTAATTTTTGTGTAGCTTTCCTCTTTTGAAACCCTGATATGTTAATACAAGCACAAGAGTCAAGAATCTCATGCCACCTAATGTGTACAGAGGACCTGAAAACACTGGAAACTAACACTGCTCTCAGGCCAGAAGTCCTGGGCATTGCCATTGAGAGAACTTGAAGGTCCCAAAAGTCCAGAAAGGGGGCGTGGGGAAGACATGGAGCGTGTGGATTGGGAAGGGTCCTGAGCTAAACCTCAGGCCCCTGACCTCCGGTGCTGGGTCAACAGATCCAGAGCAGGTAATGTATGCTGGTTACATCACCTCCTAGAACCTTAATTCCTCATGGAGGTAATTGATCCTGTAGCCATTCAGAAAACTACAGAATTAGTCGATTATTTTAAGCTTTTATTCTATTTCCACAGCTTTATGCATAAAGCTCATCTTATACAGTAACTCTGCTGCTTAACAGTTGAATGTATTCTTGTTTTTATTAAATAGTGTTTTAAGTATTTTTACTACAATGCCAAAATATATTGTAGCCCAACATATTCTATTGGAAATCATTTTATGTGAACATAATGGGATATTTCCTTGTAGATTTTGTTCTTGTTGGCCATTGTTTTAATCAAACCCACATGTCATTTGCTTGATGACCAGAGACTCATGGCCACCCCTTCATTGTAGGATCTCACTGTAGAGTGGTGATAGGCAAAGGTCGTAAACCCCAGTGCCTTTGCCTCCAAGTGGTGCAAACTTGTTCAGTGTACTAGATGGACCTCCATGGGCCTCTTTTTTTGATTTTTTGCCAGGCAGAGTTAGAGAGAGAGAGAAAGGTCTTCCTTCTGTTGCTTCACCCACAGTGCCAATCTGAAGCCAGGAGCCAGGTGCTTCCTCCTTGTCTCCCATGCGGATGCAGGGCCCAAGCACTTGGGCCACAGCAGAGAGCTGGACTGGAAGAGGAGCAACCGGGACAGAATCTGGCGCCCCAACCGGGACTAGAACCCAGGGTGCTGGCACCAAAGGGAGAGGATTAGCCTCTATTAATTCACCAAAAAACAGGTTCCAGGAGAGCATCCACCTCATAAGCATGGTTGTGTGCTTCTATTTGTAAATCATTTGTAACAGTGCCTATAGTTAGTGCAATGTAATCTTTTGTTGGTTTTGTTGTTGTTTCCATTATTTACATAAAACCCAGCTGAGGAGACATTCTTGAGTTCAACATTTTTTCCTGTTATCCTACTTCCAGCCTGCTGTGTCTGTAGATAATATTGGAAAAGTTCAGAGGATACTACTGTTGCACTTGAAATACATCATCATTTCATACGCGCCCACACATTTACATATGTGCCCTCAAAACTTCAAAATGGCCAATAAGTACAGTCATATCACTTTCTCTTTTGAACATCAAGGTCTAAGTGTGCTGTTATGAATCTCTAAAAAAAACAAGCCTCTTCACAGTTAAAACCAAATTAAAAACTAAGATGTTTTCCTTTTAATGGAATATGAATAGAACTATCCAAAAGGAAAAAAAAATAAAGCCAGCAAAGCATGGGAGACAAGGTCTTGAATTGGACCTTTGCTATCCGCCTCAGTCCTCTTGGACTGCACAGTCCCCTTCTCCACCTTCCTCTCCTTCCCCCACAGTCCCCACACTGCATCCACACTGGGTGGCAGTAGCAAACACCAACTGCCATGCCAGTTCTGGGCAAGTCTAAGTTCCAGTTCTGTTCCAGCTTTGGACCTGCTTCCAAACCTCTCTAGGTTTGTTCATTTTTGTGTTTATTGCTGACTTTTGCTTCTCATTTTTTTTCTGTTTTTTTTTTCCTTTTCAACTTTTATTTAATAAATATAAATTTCCAAAGTACAACTTTTGAATTTTTTGAATTATAGCAGCTTTCCCCCTCATAACCTCTCTCCCACCCACAACCATCCCATCTCCCACTCCCTCTCCCATCTCATTCTTCATCATGATTCATTTTCAATTATCTTTATGTATAGAAGATCAATTTAGTATATACTAAGTAAAGATTTCAACAGACTGCACCCACAAAGACACACAAAATATAGAGTACTGTTTGAGTAGTAGTTTTACCATTAATTCTCATAGTACAACACATTAAGGGCAGAGGTCCTACATGGGGAGCAGGTGCACAGTGACTCCTGTTGATTTAACAATTGACACTCTTATTTATCACGTCAGTAATCACCTGAGGCTCTTGTCATGAGTTGCCAAGGCTATGGAAGCCTCTTGAGTTCACCAACTCTGATCTTATTTAGACAAAGTCATATTCAAGTGCAAGTTCTCTCCTTCCTTCAGAGAAAGGCACTGCCTTCTTTAATGGCCCATTCTTTCTGCTGGGATCTCACAGAGATCTTTCATTAAGGTCATTTTTTTTTTTTTTTTGCCACAATGTCTTGGCTTTCCATGCCTGTGAAACTCTCATGAGCTTTTTAGCTAGATCGGAATTCCTTAAGGGCTGATTCTGAGGCCAGAGTGCTGTTTAGGGCTTTTGCCATTTTATGAGTCTGCTGTGTGTCCTGCTTCCCATGTATGATCATTCTCTCCTTTTTAATTATATCAATTATTTGCAGACACTGGTCTTATTTATGTAATCCCTTTGACACTTAATCCTATCTTTTTGATCAATTATGAACTTAAACTGATCACTTTAACAAGTAAGATGGCATTGATACATGCCAACTTGATGGGACTGAATTGGAATCCCCTGGTATGTTTCTAGCTCTACCATTAGGGGTAAGTCCGAGTGTGCGTCTCATTTTTGAATTGACAAATAAAGACTTTGAGCAAGATACCACTTGAAACTCTCTAACATGTTGACTTGTTTCCTGCTTGCTAAGGTACCACTCAACCATAAATGTAATTTTCAAGCAGTTCCCCTCCCCATTACCATAATTACTGCTTTTCTCCTGAGAAACAAGGATCGCCAGTTGGTTCTGTGTTTTATTGATGGAGAGCCCAAGATGAAGCAGCTCCACCAGTGCCTGGAATCTTCATGAGTGCTGGCACAGCAATGCGGCCAAAGCAGAGCATGCAAGAGGAGGGTGGGTGGACAGGGACCTGCAGCACCATCAAACCCACTGGGGACAGCCAGCCTAGAGATTCCTCCAACAAGGGCATTTTGTATTAAGTGTTTCCACCAAAGCTATCCCTTAAGATCCTTGAAGCTCAAGGTGGAGAAGAATTTGCAGAAGATTTTGAGCCCTTCTTGGGTTGCACACAGAGGCCCTGACATTGAGACACTCATACCTGGCCAGGCCTTACCTCTGACTCCATCAGCAGTGTCTGTAACCTGCAGTAGACAGGACGTAACCATTCTCCTCTCTCTCCTCTTTCACTCTGCAGGACCTGGATCGGTGAGAGGAATAAATGGATCCATCAGCCTGGCCGTACCACTGTGGCTGCTGGCAGCGTCTCTGCTCTGCCTTCTCAGCAAATGTTAATAGAATAAGAATTTAAAAATAATTTAAAAAAACACACAAAAATGCGTCACACGGGATACAGAGAGAGAGAAAGAGTAAGATGGGGGGAGACCGTTTATTTCACAACTTTGTGTGTTTATAAATGATGGGGGAAATAAGAAAATGAAGAAGAAAATGCAACATTTAAAACAATTTTAAGGTCTATCAATAAAAATTTGAGTGTAATTCAGAGTGGGAAAAAGTCTAGCACGATGTGTGTATGTCTACTAAGCAAGTGACTGCTGTGTGAAGACTACATCCTGCCGAGGACACCCGGATGTTGTGAGACTAGGACAAGTAAAGAAGGACCAGGTGGACATTCACTCCCCCTACACACTTTATCCTTCCCTCCTTCACCTTTTTCATCTGTGGGGAAAAAAAATAAGGTCTTGCCTTTGGTGTTTATATTTCCATAATCCTCTTACTCTGTTTTTCATTTGCGCTGACTTGGAGCCATTGCAGACTCTCAGTGGGATCCTGTGTTGGGCCCTCCCAAGGCTGTCCCACCACCACCATCTCTCCAGCTTCCAAGACCGTCCCTCTCCCTGCAGTGTGTTCCATCTTCCCATACCCATTCCCAGTACCCCCTTTTTATCCAGAGCACTAGACATGCCGCAAATGCTAGGAAGTGCCATTTCAATTTTCTCCACTGTGTGTGTGTACTCGAGTCCCACTCCCACACGGGTGCACATGTGTGTGAGCGTGTGTGTGTCTCTCTCTAAAAGCATGCCAAGGGAATGGTCCATGTGTACATAGATTTATTGTGCTGTAGATACTGTCCTGCATTGTAATTGTGAGATGCAGCCATAACAAGTTGCTGGGAGAGATGGTGGGGAGGGAAGCAAGGAGTTGAGTCCCTGCCCCACCCATGGCTGTCACCTGACATCAGTGTGTACTCAAATCAAGCTGTGCCCCTTCCAAGGGCAGGACCCCATATCCCTCCTAGTTTCATCCTCAGAACCCAGTCAGGAGTCACTCAGAATATCACTGTCAATGAAAGTGCCTACTATCGATGGGGTGAGCCAACAGTAAAATAGACCAGTGACATGGATGAAATGACCTGGGAGAGGAAGCTTCTGATCTCACACTTATTTCCTAAGTCCAAGGGATTCATACATTCCCTGGCCCTACTACAGGCTGGGTCCTGCACATGCTTAGTAAATTCCCGGAGAAGAAAAGTCTCCACATGCTAGCTCCCAATGGAAGAGTGGCGTGCCCCATGGAGATCCTAAGCAGCCCTTTTTGGCCTCCTTCCTGGACTTCAGATAGCACTGCGCTTGCTCCATGCATTCCTCTGAGAAGAGCTTATTTTCTACTTCAAAATAAAATACAGTGAGGCAGGAAGAGTAGACAGATGCCTAAGTCCCTGTCCAATTCTGGAGACACTGAAAGAGTCTAACAGAAAGCACTGACTGTAATGAAGGCAAAGTCACTCCTTGTGCTCCTTGGCAGATTTTTGCCCGTTAGTTCTAGGCTAATGCATTGGTTGCCCACATCAGCCTCTTCTGATCCCCTGATGGTGTTCAGGGCACCACTGTTCATGGTGGTCCATCACCGTTAGACCTGGCCACTAGAAACTGCATGATAGTTACCTTCCTTGCTCTATTTAAATTTACATCTGTAAGAGGTATCTTGACATTAACACTGACAAGTGAGCCAATTAATTCCTCCACGAAAAGGGTTGGGCAACTTGTAAATAATTTAGGCAGAAGTTGTATGAGTATGACGAAGTGTGTCATCACCATGTCACCAGAAGGATTTTCTTAGCAAAGGTCTTGCTGAGAAAGCTGACTCTCTAGAGGTGTATATCTTTATCAAGAAACCAACCATTGGTCTCACTTAACGGTTCAGCTGATGCAAAAAGAGTATTATTATTGAACTCATCATCAAGCATAATCCCACAGAGCCAAATACAGTTGCTTGTCAAGCTTGGGAACCTTGAGAACAGCTGTCATGTGATACAAAATGAGAAACTTCATAGCCAGGGGAAAACAGGAAGAAAGGAAAGAAAGGGAGAGAGGAAGGGAAGGAAAGGGGAAACTCTGAGCAGTATTTTCCATCTCTTTGAGGAGAGTCTATTGGTTCTTTTAGAAGTTTCTCAGAGCCTTCTTTTACAGCTTTGCAGTTTAGTCATGAAACAGGAGAAACTGAGTTTGGGATGTGTAAGAGTACTTAGTGACAGATCCTGACCCAGCACAGGAAACCTCATCCTACAGAGTCACTGAATCATAGGCGAGGTGAGCCACTGTCCTGTCAATCATTGATTTATTGACAATCAAACTTCTCCAACAGTTTGGTCATCTTTAGTACAAGCATAAAAGGCTATCATCTTTAAAGACAAATGTTCCCCATGTGTTGAAACATTAGCCAGACCCTTAACTGGGATCTTTGGAGGAATGCATGCCTACTGAAGATTACAAGAAGAGAAAAATCACAGACAGCAATTCAGATGTCATTTAGTACCAGTTTCAGGAAACAAATCACTGTGGCAGGTTTTACCCCTGCACCTGGCTTTCTTACTGTCTCCAGCCTACCATAAGGACATTGCCTTGGTTTTATTAAGGGAAGAGGTTCTCTGTTGAAAGGAATGTCTCTATCACAAGAGCACCATTTGTTCTCTTGGTTTTAATATAATGACCATATATTAAACATAATTAAACCTAAAACACGTGGTGTTTGCCTGTATCTCCAGCAGGTTCCCAGAGTCAAAAAAACGTATGCCTTGCTCCCATTTCAGAGAGAACTTTGGCCCTAGAAATCTCATAGATTTGAGAATGGGTCTAAATCATCAGAAGACTGCTAAACTATTCAGTTTGCAGAAATGTCAGGAAAAAAATGTTGAGGCAAAAAGACCAACATCAAGAAATCAACAAGTCTCAACACTAGATTTCTTGGAATTTAGTTCATGATGGTTGCTCTAACACTTCAAGAGTCTTGTCCATTGTTAATTACAGCTCAAAACCCTGTGCTGCAAAGCACCAAGTAGTTGGAAATAGTGTCCCAAGAGGAGTGAAAATCATCAATTAATCTGAATGACAAATATATTTAATGCCCCTTGTATACAGAATGAAACACCACCATTCGAACAAAATCCATAGAATTTGTAGTTAACAAAAATAGAAATGACTTTGCCCAAAGCATTTTCTGAACGATGAGCTATCATAGGTTACACAACTGTGGAACTGTAGTTACTCAGCACAATTGCTCATGAAAAGGTTTTACCTTATTGAGGGAACAGTCTTGCCAGATCTGAGGGTTTAAAATCCCTCTGTCCTGAAACAGCTGACTTCTATAGAAAAGTAGCTGTGTTTTCTCTCGGGAAGGGTTATTCCATTGACTTTCCCTTCTCTTTCAAGTCATACTTGAGCCTTTTCTTTCTTGCCATGAGCATTTTCCTTTACTTAAGTAATCAGATAATTTGGGCTATTCATAGAGACCTTGTAAAACTACTCGTGATTTTCTTGTCCTTGGAGGACAGAAACAGAAATGTTTCTCCTCCAAAAATGGACTTACCTCCTTTGTACACAAACATTAAACTTCTCAGCATGGAACTGTTTGAGTTAGTACCTACCCCAGCGTTGACTTCTTGCACACCTCAGAGTCACGGTTGTGTCCCCAAGTTGGCAGTGGGTGACTCAACTGGCTCTTCTCCTTGAATTTTTCATTTTGTTCTCTGCAGGCCTTGGAGTTTTTGTTTTGTTTTGTTTTGTTTTTGGTGGGAAAATGATATATATATATGTATGTATTTTTTTTAACCTTATCTCTACAGATACTATATTTACAATAATGTATGTATTATAAGACAAATTTAGGATAGCTTTTAAACTGAAGAGGGAAGAAAAGTACTGAATTTTTTTTAGAAAGATCTATGCTGCATTTAAAAGACATGGAGCCCTACTTTTCCATTTTGTAATAGTTTGTTTCAAAGAAATGTGCTTCTGGACCATGTTCTTTGGGAATAAGCATAGCCTCATTTTTATCTTCATCCTCATAAACTGTAGCCTGGATTTAGTCTTGGTTCCCCATAGCTTTCATTTTTTTGGTAAGACTATAAGTACAATTTCATATCTGAACTACAAGAACTATCAATATTTTGAAGACAAATGTTAAACAAACCAGAAAATAGGGAGATAAGACCATGAGTTAAGAAACACAAACCCAGTTTGGGAAGCCCCCTTCTTTCGTAAGTATTCAAAATATTTCTCCTCCAAAGGCTGCATTTGCCCCAGTGATGTAAATTTTCCATCATGGTTGGCATAATATCTGTAAACATCTCAGTAAATGCAAAATGGAGTTTACATTTCTGTGCATACAAGTGGGAAGGGGAGTAAACTCTTCTCATTTGCATGTAGCTATGCTGTTCAAATGTCACCAACTGAAATTCAAGAAAGAATTTGTTTTCACCCAGCAATGTACATCACGTTCCTCTTGGCAAGGAAGCTGGTGTTAATGTTAGGTTTAGGTTTAACATTTACACCAGGGAAAATGTTTATGGATATTGTGGGAGCCTTATTTTAAAATCTTGATTTCTTTTCAGCACATTTACATACTGTGTGCTGATTAATAAATTAGGCACCAATCATGTGTAAATCAATGTAAATCACTAGTTTATGTACATAATATAAACTATGTAAACTTAATTTTTCATGCAGGACTCAAATTCAGCTAAACCTATGAGTCTTAAAGGAAAAAAAAAAATCAAAGATAAAGAAACCAAAGCACTTCCCAGGTCAAAATGGGGAGAAGGATGACTAAGTTCCCAAATGTTAGTTCGCCTCAATCAGAGGACCCTGGGGAAACACTTAATGATTCCCATCCTGCTCAAGCTGCAGGAGTCAACGGTCACCTTTTTTTCCCCAGAACTCAAGTAGATTCTCCCAGCTTTGCCACAGTTGTCTTGCCCGATCCCAAAGCAAAAGAAAGTGGAGAAAGAGAAGGGTTCATGTGTTGCATCAACTCCCAGGCATCTTCTTGTTAGTATTTTTTCACCATCTAAGACATCTTATTTAAGTAGCTCCAAGAGTGTCACCTATTTCTTGATGAACAAATATTACTCAGTTTTTATTTTCTATTCAACAAAAGCTTTGGGAAATCTTCTTTGTCATCTTGATTCTAAGAAAATCTGAGATCTAAGAAACACGTTATATCCTTAAGAAATATCTTATTCAGTCACTCTGGAAAATAACAGCTTTTACTTGATCTGGTAGCCCTATGTTTCTCCATACCTATTCTGAATATTGCAAATGAGGAACAGAGTCTTCTGAATTGGGAATATATCTCTCAGGCATATTCTCCTGGAGTCTTTTTGAAGTGCCTGATGTGATTAACAGGATGACATAGATACCTTTCCTGCCATCTGCACACTTAGTACATAAGGAGTCATCAAAGAGATGACTTCAAGAACCACATGGGTTTTTTCCCCCCAGGACTATAATGGGAAAAAAAAAATAATGTTAGACTTCAAGTACACCCCTCTACCTAATGTATATGACAACCTTAAATTACGGTGTGAAGGATATTGGACTGGAGTTGGCAGAATTGGGCACTAGCCCTGGGTCTGGCTACAAAAAAAAAAAAAAAAAAAAAAAAAAGGCTGTGTGTGATGTTGGCAATTCGCTTAACCTTACTGACTCTAGGATTTTGTACCCTGAAAGTGAGGAACTTAGAAGATATCTCTAAAATACCTTTCACCTTTTAATGCTGTGGTTCTGAATTGGGACTTGCAGTTCGCTTAGCACTGTGGCCAGCCAATCATTCCAAGCAGGTGTCTATCATCTGCACTTGGGCCCTGTTCTGTCATCACTTCTTATACTTGTCATCTCACCATCTCCATTTTAAAAGGCTTGAATTCTACAACACAAGGTCTCTGGTCTGACTCTGTAATTCTCTTTTGATCAAGACTTCTTGGCAATGTACACTAGAGATTCATTCAGATTACATGAAGGGTGATTGGGATGACACCCTTGCTTTTAACACTGTAAAATCTAACAGTTCAGCTAAATCCTAATAACCTTGCATAGGAATAAAAATAGCCAGATTGGACATTATGCATGTAACAAATGAGGAAGTTGTGTATATGAAAGGAAGCATTCGTTTTCTCTCATCCTAGGCCAAGTGCCTCATTATAGTAAGTGTGGATCCTTGGAAACTCTTGGCTTGTGCTAATGGCTCTAAGCACGTGGTCTCAGGCAAGTTCAAAAGGTGGATCTGTGAGAAGCAAGCAAGACAATGTATTTTGTTTTGGAAGGAATTTCTCAGAGGATGAGGTTCTCAAAGCTTGACTTCAAGGCTGTGAAATCAAATAACAGGATTGAGGGAAAATGGCCCTTATTTTCAAGAAGTGCAAGTCGATACCATTTTCAAAGCCAGGCTAAAAACCAACAGGTCAAAACAAAACACATTTGCACAGGCTACAGATTTGAAGACAGTAGGAGTTGCTTTGAAGGCCCACATGGAAGAAGCAGGTTAAGTTCCCCGAGGAAAGGGTAAGCAGAGAAGATAGGTTCTCAAGCAGTAAATGAGGAATTATTTTTCTAGTGCCATGTTCTGGATGGATTGAGCACAGGTCGACTGCCCTACAAAAAGCTGGAGGCTCAGTTTAGCATCCAATGTTATCTTTTCACTTAGGATATTAAAGAACAGAAGGACTCGAAGTCTCCCAGACGCCTCAGAGCAGGTTTGACTCCTAACTTCCCAGCATGAGCATCCCTTTGTGTAGACAAGACCACAGGATGCGCTTCGAGTACACAGGAAGCCCTCTGTAAGTGGGGTGCTGCCTGCCCATGGGACGGCTCCCCATTTCCACGGTCATCTCAGAGGGACTTCTTTGTGGGCAGTACTCCCGGCTCTACGCCTACAGCTATGTTCTTCTCTGCACAAGCCCGCTCTTTGTAAAGACAGGCACAGTCAAAATCTGCTTCTTGCAAACGAAGAAAACACACGGAGCTACTAGCTTCTTGGCACGCAGCAGCATTCCTAAGTTATCAGGAGCCTTTTTCCAACACACTTGCCTAAGGTTTTCCCTTTTACCGGAGAATATCAATGATTCATCCTGGTGAATTGTGGCCAAGTTCTGCTCCCTAAGTATTTACTGGAAGTGGGGAGGTTAAAGGGAAGGAATCCCAGGGGTTGGGAAGCCGGGGAGAAAGCTCCACTTCCTCCCCCAGCCTCGTTCCTCCCCTTCACTGCTCTACTGAGGGATGTATCAATCCTGCTCTTGTTTAGAATTCTTATTAACAGTGTTATATACATATAAATATATATAAATATATTCCTTTTTTCAGCCCTGTAGACATGAACTGATCATCCCTTGATGATACAAATACATGGCCTTTTTTTTTTTTTTGGTTTGGATATTTTTTATTGCTTAAAGTTTTTTCCTTTTGATTACTGGATGGATTTTTTTTCCCTGGATGCTAGCTCTGTGAAGGAAAATAAAAAGCGCAGTGTGTGTAAAAAAAAAAAAAAGTTAAAAGTTCTCTCTTTTCTTTTAAAATGTATTTAAATTCTGTTTCTCTCTTCTGTTACTTTACACGTACGAATGCTCTGCTCTTCTGTGATCTTAAAACAAAATGAAATAAACGTGAAAAGGAGATGTGTCTTCATTGACCTGAGTCAGTGATCTTGTGGTTGACTGCTCTGCTTCTTGAGGTTTTCCTAAATAAGATAGGAAATGAAGCCAAGGATAACAAATATGCAGAGAAGGGCTGAACAAAGCCCTGAAGAATCACCTGAAGGCTTCCCAACAAGGTCCCTACTGCAGAAATCAATGTGGTGTTTACAATCATCATCTTCACCTAACCAAAGCAGTTCTCTGAAAGTGCTATTTTCTTTTTCTCCCTTAAGGGATCTTAGGAAACAAGGACAAATGATTACTGGGAGGCTATAGAAAAGGCATTAGGAAGTTGCCACATGAGAAGTTGAGGGAGATCAACCTGGAATCTGATACCAAAAGCATGAGAGAGCAAATCTTTCTGTTGAAGTCTCCGTAAGATGGGTTATCTCTGAGGATTAGGTTTAATCAGATCCTATCTGATAGCAATGGGAGGAACTAAGTAACCACTTTCTCAAGCCCCCTGTTATTTCTACTTATAAAGATGCTGTTTGCTTTCTGTTCTTGCTGAGAGCTATCTCTTTACAGGATGTTTTCAGAGTCTGTAGAATCCCTATAGCATTGCAGGGGACAAATGAGTGATGTCAAGATAAAAATGAAAAACAAGCCATCCACAACTGGAAGAGGCAAGATTGGTTCATCATCACATGAGAAATGACTGGGATGCTTTGAAGTTTTACTCTTAGGAGTCAAATCATATCTGACAGAGGTCCAGGAGCCCTGATCTCAACCTAGGCTGACTGGGGGAAGAAACAGGGGAGTGAGCACTTGTGATCAACTTCAATAATGAGAAAAGGATCTCAGACATAAACAAAACTTGTCGCTTCCAATTCAGAGATGGCTGAAGGGCCCGATTTCCCATTTGGATTTAAAAAAAAAAAAAAAAAAAAAAAAAAAAAAAACAACTCTGAAAATGCCCTTCTACAGCAAGTTCACCAAACACAAGGTTAAAGATACTCTCCTCAATCAAGACCAAACTTGTCATTTCAAGATACCAGCTGCACATTTGGGGTCCTCAGATCACCCTGATTTCTGATCATCTGAATACAAATTTGAGAGTTCTCATTACCCCGTCAGGTTCAATAATTTGGCAGAGTGACACAGAACTTAGGAAAACATTACATAAGATATCAGTTTTATTATAACAAAAGAATCCAAATCAGAAGCAGCCAAAGGGACACATAGGACAAGGTCTGGAGAATCCCCAGTGTGACGCTTCCAGTGTCCTCGCCCTACAGAGTTAGGCCATGTGGCCTTCATAAGCATATGGATGTGGGACAATAAACAGAGCTTTGGTATCCAGATTTTTTGAGGTCACATTAAACTGGCATGGTTGATTAAATCACTACCCACAAGGACACATGGATGAACTTAATTCCCATCCCCTTTCCCCTGGCCAGAGGGCAGGCTGACATGTGACTCAGAGCCCCAAGTCTTTCATCACATAGCCAGCCTTTCTAACATGGTGAGCCCCTGTTCTGAATCCTCTCATTGTCAACTACCTGGGGGCCCACGAGAGTCACGTCAGTAGCATAAACTGTCAAGTGTGGTCCAGTGGAGTCAACATGAAAAACAAAGAAGCAACCATCACTTGGAAAACCTGGGTCAGGCCTTCTGGTGCAGCAGGTTAACCTGCTTGGAACGCATGCATCACATATCAGAGTGCCTGGCTCAGGTCCCAGTTACAAGTCCCTGTCTACCCTGCTTCTGATCCATCTTCCTACTAATTCATCTGGATAGGCAGCAGGTGATGGCTCAAGTCATTGGGGACCTGCCACTACATGGGAGACCCGGATGGACTTCTAGACTCCTAGATCAGCAAATGGAAGACTCTCTCCCTTTGCATTTCAGTTAGATGAAACAACAACAACAACAAAACAAAAAAATTAAGAACTGGCTGCAATGGGTTAAAAAAATTCCAAAGAACTTGAAATTATCTTCCGGGATATAGGGACAAAGGCCATTCAAAGTTTTATTGTGTTTTTTTTTTTTTTTCATTACCAATCCTGTCAAAAACAAAAACAAAAACAGAACAAAACATTTTAAGTCTCTTAGTCTTCCCAAATAACCTGAGATTTTTATTTCCTTAAAGCCAATTATGAAGAAGCTTCATAATTAACAAGCCAATATCACCTTGAGGTTTTGCTATCTTTAGGATCTCAGAGGAGATTCTTTCCAATATACCCCATTTTCTACTCCCTTTATATTCATCTATTTATTTTTTAAAAAGAATTACTTATTCTATTTGAAAAGCAGAGTTGCAGAGAAAAAGGGAGAGAGATGAGAGAGAGAGAGAGAGAGAGAGAGAGAAAGGAGGAGAGGGCCATCCAGTGGTTCACTCCCCAAATTGCTGCATTGGCTGGGGCTGGGCCAGGCCAAAGCCAGGAGCCTGATCTCCCTTCCCTTCTTCACCCAGGTGCCCATGTGGGTGCAGGGGCCCAATCACTTGGGTCACCATCTGCTGCTTTTCCCAGACACATAATCAGGGAGCTGGATTGAAAGTGGAACCCCAGGACTTGAACTGGCACCCAAATGTGATGCTGGCACTGCAGATAGAGGTTTAACCCACTGTACCACAGTGCTGGCCCCTATACCCATGTATTTTAAAGTATATCTAAAACAGCACATAAGAACTAGAAAGAAGGTGAGTCCATGATTCTAACTTCTTAAGGAAAGGGCCATTGTCTTTTTCACTCTTGTGATCCTTTCAGAACTAGCATGGTACTATGCTGATAGCACGGGCTTAGCAAACATTTATCAAAACAGAATTACGTTGTGTTCAATTCAACCAATGAATCTACTACATGGGGAATTCTGTCAATCACTGTAACCTCACCATAACTGTTGAAGATTTCTAAATCCAAGACTATGAAACACAAGTAAATTCCTGCCTCACATGCAAAAGCATTATGACACAAACATGGAAAACTTAGCTACTAGCACAAAACTGGAATCTTAATGTTCCCCAGTATGAAGGGGAATATGCCTCCCTCTTCACTTTCCTCAAGTTCCTCTCTTCCTCCCTGTTGACTAGCTACTAGCCAGTTGGGGCATCCTTTTATCAGCCAAAGCTATGTCCTCCTCAAAGATGTCAAACTGTTGAGGATTCACGTGAGCACTGGGAATTGAATCTGAGAAGATGCAGTAGGAGGACCATACCTGACATTTTACCTAGCCTTTTTATCTAACCTTTTACAGACACAACCATTCTCCATTTTAAGATATTAGTTTTTATTCTATAACACAGTATAAAATTTAGATTACTCATGTTATCTTTTTGTGCCATTCTATCTGCTCATTTAGTCCCTGCCTGGCCTCCCAGATCAAATTAGAAACCTGCAGATCTTGTCATAAAAGTTCCTATTTCCCAAAGAATCTTTGCTTCAGGTTCTTTCTGCTCAAAGAAGATGTCCCTGTTAGTGTGAGCAAACACCAGAGATGGACCCTGAACAGAGGTAGGGAAAAGACGCTGATCAGATGAAGAGGAACCGTGTATTTATGGCACCAAGCAGCTCCAGTTTAAGAGTCATCAGAAGTCACCAGGTGATTGTACTGGATAAAGTGCTATATAGCACAATCTCAGCTACTGCAGCTACAAGGTCCATCTGGAGACTTCTGTAGTATTAACATTTCAACTCCAAATTTTTGGTTCATGAACAGACTTCTCTGTGCTTTTATTATATTATGGGTCTTAGATAACCCAACCTATGCTATTGAGTACTTTATTTCTTTATTATCATCATCATTATTGAGAGGCAAAGACACATACACACACACACATACACACACACACAGAGGGGGAGAGAGAGAGAGAGAGAGAGAGAGAGAGAGAGAAATTCCCATGTACTGGTTCACTCCTCAAATGCTTGAAGTGCTCCCAGACTAGGCTCAAACCTGACAGCCAGGAACTCAAGCAGGGTCTTCAATGGTTTGAGGGTGAGAGGTGAGAAGGACAGGAAGCCAACCACTTTGGCCATCACCCATCTACTGCCTGCCGGGGTCTGCATTGGCAAGAAACTGGAGCCAAGAGCAGAGCTTGGACTTGAACTCAGCCACTCCAAAGTAGAATATGGACGTCCTAACCAGAGTCTGAATTGCTGTGCCCAGTACCCACTTCCCTTATTCTTCATATGCAACTTTTAGACTCCATACTAGCAGTCATGGGGTTGTAGAGCCTTCAAGTGAAGTTTATTTGTTCAGTTATATTAAGATTTGTACGAATTCTCAAATGAAAACCAAAGAAATAATGAACAAAACTCTGAATGGAGATCTCATGGGACAAAGTACTGATAACTCCTTCTGGGTGGAGACCCTTTGTAGACTGGGCACCTGAAACAGTTCTTTGTAAACAGGCTCCCTGCTGGGGTTGACGCTGGCCACTTACCTGTTCCCCAGCTCTAGCCAGCTACACTGCCCTGAACCTACTAAGCTGGGCTGCTGAGCCCAGTGAAGAAATGCGTGAATCAGGAGGACTCATGGGTCATACCGCCAGGACACCAAGTTTCCTCTGCCTAACCTTCATCTCACCACATGTCCAGATCCTGACTTAGAGAATCTGTCTTGGAGCATAAGTAGTGACACAATGTGGAAAGACACAGAGCTCTTCCTAAGCATCCATTAGTCCTTTGTCTTACAAACACTATTTTCCAGTAATAAAGTCTAAACCAGCTTTCTCCTTATTCCGGAAGGATAAAATCCTTGCTCTTAAATAACAATATCTTGTTAATACTAATTTGAATAATGATACTTCCAGACATTTGCTTACCAGCTAGTTGGACTATCAAGGACCCTAATTACCCAATTCCATCTCATATTCAAAATGAATATTAAGAAGAAATGAGAGATGAGAACAAAAGAGAATGACTCTCTCAGTATGGTTAGTGTTAGCAGAGTTGAGGCCTACAGTTTCAGGGATACTGTGAACAGACATTATATTGGCTTTTCTCATTTAAGGCACCATCCATACGCAATAGGCTCCTCACCTTCCAAAGATCCCTTT